CGGGATGGGAGGTGCTCCCTGTCCTAGCTACTTGAGTGGTATGCATGCAGATGTAGGTGATAAATGTCCGAGGGGACCTCCTTCAACAGGGGTCTTTGGAGCTGGTCAGATGCACCTATGCGGGTGTGCCGTTCACTGTCAGTGCAAGAGAGGTGTCACAGTTCCGTATTAATACGAAATACAAACACTGCTGAAAGGTTCTCCAGTTTCGGACATGCCACGAGCAGGATGACAGGAGTATCATAGCCTTCAGTAGCGAGGGAACAGATGCGTAAGCTGCGTGGAATAGACGAACAATTGAATTCACCAATTCGTGATACCGTTGCTTGGCGTGGCTTTTCCAGTGCAAGGCTAAGCATAAAAAATAATAATAAACTGGAAGAGAACTAATTCCTTGAGGGACTTATTCAACGAATTCTGACGAGTTATCCCTGTCTAAATGTCAGCGGAGCACTAAGTGAGTCCAGGTTCAACATAGCCGTCAAGGAAGGGCATACTAGAGCCCACCAGCATCTCGGTGGATGGGTCATAGAGCCTCTCGCCGGAGAAGCCGATGGTACATCATTGAAGGTCGTCTCGTGTGTTGATCCGGGCGGGTGAGTTACCTCTCTCATATCTTGGTTATAATTTTAATATGCTGGGCTGGTGAAGATACGTTCCGTTATCTGTTCTCAACTGGATGGGCTGGCGAGGCGCGGTTGAGCTGTGTACGAGTCTTAACAGCTTTATGGAAAAAGTAGCGGATAATTGAGACCATGAATTAGAGGGGATCTGCCAGCTGTCACGTTTGCTTTACCGACCCGAACGGTTGTGTTTTTCATTTGCACTTTTCAAGCATCTATTCCATGAACAGAACCATCGATTCCATCTGCTTTCAGCGGAACCGGCTCCACGAACAGTGAAATTGATACCCGCAATTTCCAATCCCAGCTACCCTTCCCAATGTAATCGATCGTATTAAGGCACATCTTCAGGCGGCGGCATAGGTGCCCCTCTAAACGTAATCGATCCTATTGAGGCACATCTTCAGGCGGCGGCATAGGTGCCCCTCTAGGCGTAAGCGATCGTATTGAGGCACATCTTCAGGCGGCGGCATAGGTGCCCCTCTCAATGTAATCGATCGTATTGAGGCACATCTTCAGGCGGCGGCATAGGTGCCCCTCTCAATGTAATCGATCGTATTGAGGCACATCTTCAGGCGGCGGCATAGGTGCCCCTCTAAACGTAATCGATCCTATTGAGGCACATCTTCAGGCGGCGGCATAGGTGCCCCTCTAGGCGTAAGCGATCGTATTGAGGCACATCTTCAGGCGGCGGCATAGGTGCCCCTCTCAATGTAATCGATCGTATTGAGGCACATCTTCAGGCGGCGGCATAGGTGCCCCTCTCAATGTAATCGATCGTATTGAGGCACATCTTCAGGCGGCGGCATAGGTGCCCCTCTCAATGTAATCGATCGTATTGAGGCACATCTTCAGGCGGCGGCATAGGTGCCCCTCTCAATGTAATCGATCGTATTGAGGCACATCTTCAGGCGGCGGCATAGGTGCCCCTCTCAATGTAATCGATCGTATTGAGGCACATCTTCAGGCGGCGGCATAGGTGCCCCTCTCAATGTAATCGATCGTATTGAGGCACATCTTCAGGCGGCGGCATAGGTGCCCCTCTCAATGTAATCGATCGTATTGAGGCACATCTTCAGGCGGCGGCATAGGTGCCCTTCTCAATGTAGTTGATGGTTCTAAGGCATGTCTTAAAATTGATCGTACTAAGGCATATCTTGGTGTAGTGGCATATCTTGGTGTAGTGCCATAAGTATCCCTTTCCATTTAATTGATCGTACTAAGGCATATCTTGGTGTAGTGGCATATCTTGGTGTAGTGCCATAAGTATCCCTTTCCATTTAATTGATCGTACTGAGGCATATCTTGGTGTAGTGGCATATCTTGGTGTAGTGCCATAAGTATCCCTTTCCATTCAATTGATCGTACTAAGGCATATCTTGGTGTAGTGGCATAGGTGCCCCTTTCCATTTAATTGATCGTAGTAAGGCATATCTTGGTGTAGTGGCATAGGTGCCCCTTTCCATTTAATTGATCGTACTAAGGCATATCTTGGTGTAGTGGCATAGGTGCCCCTCCCAATGTAACTGGATGTACTGAGGGATTCAGCATAGGGACAGCCTGTACATCCTCAACATTCCCCTGGACCTGTTCTCTCGACCTGGTGTCGAACTCGAGTGTATCGCCCTATTGAAGGACCCATGAAGAAGTCTGCTGATGAACTACTCCTTCAAGGGCTCATTCATACCGGAGGAAATATGAATCTCGTTGAGAGGAGAAGTCGTTGTACCACGTTTGCTTCCTTTATTCGTAAGTAACTTTATTTCGTGGTAATCAGCGATCGAAGTTTGGCTAACAATCACTTATCATACTACCAATGCCGGATGATACAACACATTGACACTGAATATGAACAGAAGCAGACAATATTGTCATATTCGCGGGATCGGTACACTACTCAGACACAACAATGTGCTAGTGGCCGAGAGAAGAGTATTTGACAAACACGACACAGACCTATCATTCAGCGCGAAGCCGATCGAAAAGAACTAGCTACCAATAAAAAATTAAGTTGAAATCCAGAGTTGCACCACGAGTGATGTGTGATCACTAGCTAGACTTCACCGCAACTGAATTATCAACCAAAAATCAGTCCTTAAGAACTGCTCTGTCCTTGGCTATGGTTCCAAAGATCTGATCTACCCTCTCGGCGCATTCGAAATAGGGGTGATCTTTCACGGAGTGACGCTCCTTCATTTTGAAGTACCTGGAACCAACTACAAACGACCTAGATATGCCGCTATGAACTCCCATCATTATCCATGGTGGGTATACAGTTTGCATTCACTCAAATGAAAGAGTGCCAGACTATCCAACTTTAAGACTCCAGCGTAACGTTTTAACATTCGACAATGTCAAATTGACATAAATCTACGAAGGGATAGTTTCAACTCGAATATGCAAGTCGAAGAGAGTGCCCGGGCGCACCATTTTTTCATGTTGGGATACTTATCCAAATTGAGCCCGAGCCACAGATGTAACCTGAAGTAAACGGAGAGCACTCCAGCTAAAGACTCGAGCCAGATAACTGGCTCTAGGGAAAGGAGTCGTTTAGTTTGAGTTAGAAAGCTCCTCACTGGGCAACAAGAGGAAAGACCGCGATGTCAGCCAATGTGAAGTTACCAACAAGGTATTCCTTCCCCTCGAGATAGCCGTCCCAGATAGCAACTTCCTTGCTTAGAGCCTGAGGGACAAACATTAACAGGTGCGGCAGGTACGAGTCAAAGAGTGTCGACCTCAATTTCGGCTCCAAGTTGCTCTTTCTTCTGCCCTTGGAAGAAGACTTGGTAAGCGACATTCTTGGGGTTAAAACTTTGCTCGAACTCATGAATATATTGAATGCACGCAGCCATCTCAGCTGGTGAGTGAGGCGTCAACGGAACCTAAGCTCGGATAGACCCAAGACGAGTGCTGAAGCCTGGGGCGCATACTTGGTCGGGAAAGGCCATGTCCAGATACTGTAGAGCCGCCATGCTATCACGTAGCACGAGTGAGCCATGCGTTAAGCAAGGTACTGTGCCTCGTGGGTTCATAGCCAAGAACTGGGGAGTTTTCTGTTCCCCCTTGAAGATGTCGACCTGATGAGAGCATGACCATCATCGGACATTCTCTGGCCAAGCTACTTCTTTCCTCTCATACGGCAGATTTTTCTCCTTGAGGACTATTTCAACTCTCATGCAGTTGTTAGATGGAGAGTAAGTGAACAATGTGAGTTGGCTCATTAAGAAAAGACAATTGTTCCGAACGGTATTCTATGAAAGGATGATAAGAAGAACCGAAGATACGCGGGTATTCTCCAGTTCCTATATATTTCCTGGCAGGAAAATCCTGCGTGCATGTCGGATGTCACATGCAGTATGTGGGATTAGCAATTGTGGCACAGTAAAGAAGTGGACAGGTCAACAATCTGGTAGAGGACGGGATTTGACTCAACAAAGTTATGCGGATGCGTCTGGGGCATGGAAGCTATCGCTTTCGTCTGAGCCAACGAACGGTAGCGTGACAAGTTGTCAAGTGAGAACGGAGGCGCACGACAACCACACCGTGTGGAGGCGCAATATGGGTCCGAGCGTATATCACGCACCTGGAATCGAAGGTGGATACAACTTATGACATTCAAATCCGGACTGTAGAGGATCGACGGTATTCGGTTGTTACAGAGACCGATTCTCACTGTGTATACGCGTGCACACGTCCCAATACAGTGAACTGTCCTCCAGAGCGACCGGACCTCCCAAAAAAGACAAGATCAAGGCTCTGTTTTAGATTCTCATGATCGAAAATCACTCAAATCGAAGGCCCATTTGCACTGGTTAGCGATAAAACTCGCCAGTGCTGGGATTCGCCACGATTCTAGTTAAAGTTCCCACCAGCTGAGCTCCCATTTGTTTGTCTTGAAATTCAGGACAGTTATGAAGCCATGCTCGGCATGGTCCCCTTAGCTGAGTTACTCTAAGGGCGCATCAATGTGAACTTCAGTTTAGGTGGTTAGATATAGTGTGGATGAGTTAGGCTAGGTATAGTTAGCTGCAGTAGTGATGTCAGAGCGACTGCAGGCACCGTCAAGATCGCCAATACATATCAAATACGCCATAAATTTGCGAGAGCATTCAGTATTGTCATCAATCACATCATATGAGATAATGCCTCTGGCTTTAACCATGCCTCCAAATAAATGTGCTCCTCGAGTAAACTGTGGGTCGGAACTGTCCTTTAGTTTCTTGGCTGATTGTTCTTCGTGTGACCAGTTAAGATTACGTCATCTCGACGGTGGACCCACCAGCCCACTGTAGAAACGCAGACACGCTGGTTGAAGTGCGATACGCCTCTTCTGAAATGTTGGCACGATGATAAAAGCTCATAGAAAATCGTAGATTATCATTGTCTGGCGAGCACCATGCGTTGAGCAGAGGTGATGCCATGAAGTGTGTCAATCTTGGCACAAGCTGCGAAGAAAGGATGCTCTTCGAGTGAGGGCCGATCTCTCATGTTAGAGTACCTGAATCATCGAAAGACGGTTGCCTGTATGCGCCATTTGAAAAGAAACTCTCCCTCTACCGTGATAACATACTATGTACTATGCTCACAGATTTCCCTCAAAGAACGCACTCACCATCGCCGTAGATTAGGATAGTCGGCGAGGTCCAAGCCGAAGCATTCAGTCAACCTAAGAATCATAGACCATATCTCCCATGATTATCAAAAGGACGCTTCCTCACTGCGCGATCAAAGGGAACACCGCGATGTCCGCGAGACTGAAGTCATCAACAAGGTACTCCTTATCCTTCAAATAGCCGTCCCATATAACAAGCTCCGCTTCCAAAGCCTGCATCCAAGTCAATGCTAATAGTCGATCGCAACAACCGGACATTCCTACTTCTATTTCCTCCACGAGTTGGTCTCTGCCCATCTGTTGCTGGAGCACCTTATGGGCAACGTTCTTAGGATCAAGATTGCATTCAAACTCGTGAATGTACTGCAAGCACTTGGCCAATCGAACAGGATCTTTTGGTTGCAATCGTATCTGCTCAACAGCCTGTCATGAAGGCCCCCAGTCGGTGTTGGGAGAATATATGTTCGCTTCCCTCAGGAGTTTCCTCACTAATTATACAAGTCTACATACAAATTCGGGTAAAATCATACAGAAACCAATGACAATTTCCTCATTTTTTCTCAGATTTTCCACAAATGTCACCTACACATGAAGTTGACTACGTGCACGTTTTCTCACACCGCCCCTAGTAGTCGATGTAACCTTACGTCTCTGTTGAAGACCGCGTCGATGTACTGCATAGCCGCACAGCTCTCCGTGATGATTATATCATCGTGAATAAGGGTTGGAGTTCTCTGCCGTGGATTGATAGTAGTGTACTCGGGAGTCCTATGTTCACCATTAGTTTCATCAATCTGATTAATCTCGTCATACTGAGGAACTATCTCTCATGAGTTCTACCATCTTTTTGTTAAATATAACGCTTTTCTCCCTAAGAGTAAGGTCAACTCTAAAGCCATTGGGAGATACACCATCCGTAGTGTACAAGACGACTCGATCGTTGCTACTCCGTATATCTCGGAACAGCGCTGGTGTCTGGAAGCAATGACGGTCATCAAGAGTCCAGACGGCACAGACTTACTTTGGCCGCCTCAATACTGTCACGTCGATGGACCTCCTGGGAGTTTTTTCTCCACCGTTCGAGGTCTTCATGTTCCTTGCCACTCGAGCTTCTAGTTCGGCGTGATCCCGAGTAACTTGAACCCATAACGATATAACACTGAACAGGGGAGTAATCCATCTCAGGGCCAACCTAACAGCCGCCTTACTAACTCAACAACGCGGAGTGCCCTTGGTAACACTTCTGTATAAATCGAGACGAGTACAACACCAACCAATAATGGACTTTAGCATCCACATGAATTCAGGATGGGTCGAATAATAAAACAAAGAAATGAACTGGTGGCTCGTGAGCTCGTTTATGGTATATCAAAAGAGACCTCTTAAGGTAACGAGATTGTTCGTCATCCTCACATCACCGTTGGCGATGCGAAGTGCTACCGCATTTCACCAATCATTGCTGTAACAGTTTATGAATTTGCTTTGCTCTGCCGCGCGACTTTAGCTAGACTCCTCGGATAGGAGAGACGTCACGCGCCACGAAATTAACCTCTGCACGACCATATGTTCAGACCGATAAACCTTCCCGTCGGTTAACAGTTTGGACATACAATGCTGAGGGATTTCATGCAGCGATAAACTCTAGGAAATACATTCACCTGTCACCATCCACCTCATGCTTACGAAGGAGTCCAAAATGATCCGCATGCTAAACCATATTGTCGACAAGCATCAGAAAACAGCATCGTACGCACTAGTACCTTCCGGACCGCCCTAAGTGACGTCTGCCATGATTACAGAAATTATCGTTCATTTCCACCAATTTGTCCAACGCTGTTTTATGGACCTCTTTGGGGCCTAGTCGTAGTATATCACTACTCGTAGTTCTTCTATCAACTGTTCCTGCAGTCATCAACAACAACAACAAGCTGCTGCTGCTGCTGCTGCTGAGAAAACTCCAACGCCCATTACATGAGGAGTGATACCATCATCTCACTCGATACGACAACCCATTAGCACTTCTAAGTTTTGCTGTTATAAGTTGTGATGGATCTATCTGACCGCCAAGCAAAAACTTCTAGGGCACGAGACTTTGTCGCTCACCCTGCATGGACCATGCAGGGTGAGCGACATTCTTCCCATCGTAACATACCAGGTATGTTACGATGCGGGTGACTCGCATCGCAACATTTGCGAGGCAGCCATGGTCATCAAAACCTACCAACCAAGGTAATGCAATATTACAATAGAGGAAAGATGTCTCTTGGATATGTAGTTGTGAGCTGTGTTGCCGTATGTAGACAACTGTATCAGTCATTGGAATTTCAGCAGTCCGCACGGACCGTGCGGCACAGTTATGCACATGTAACCTTAACTAAGTTGAGGTAATAGAACACAAAATTTCTCAACGACCATTGCAAAAAACGGTGCAAAGAGCACAGGAACGAGAAGGCAGACATCGTCGACATAACAGATTGGAGGTGAAAGTTTCACATCAGACTTTTTTCCCACATCAGGAAATGCCCTCAAGGGCTGCCCCTCGGAATATACCTCTCGATATCAGGGCGAGCGAGAACACTAGTAGTTCTGTCTGCATTTGCAGCACATCTCTCGTGACAGCGCCTTGTGAAGGCCAGGGTCCTTAGAAGTTGCCCTTTACCCTCTTGCCAATGGTAAGTTGAGATTAACAACCGTTGCGGATCGATTCGTCGATTCACTACTGTGTTCGATCATTCTTTATTCCTAGATGGTTTTCAGGTCGTTGTTGTTGAAGTTAGAGCTAAGAAAGTCGGCCCTGTGCCCAGGCGAGAACAGCGTAAAAATATTGATGAAATGGCTGGCTTCCTCAGGTGGGGTCTATAGCAGTCGCAGGACTCAGTCTTGGATTCATTCTTAGGTCGGTGCCTGACATCAAGTGTGACTCGGATAAAGGTGGTTGTTGCGTATCGGGTGACTACAGCGCTGTTGTGTCGGCTCTGAAGGGCACCCGCGAATACATGAACTCGAAGAACCCAGGTAGTTTGCTGACCTTGCGGGACGCGATGGAACTCGATGGGATTAGGTGAGGGCGATTTCCAGGATAGTTTCGAGATAATCGCCCGATCAACGGACGGTACACAAGAAATGAAAGATGCCCTTGAGGCGTTCATCACTCCAACCTATGGCGAATCCCCGCCTAGTCAGCTCAAGTGGGTTGGGCGATAGAAAGTGACGCTCTTTAGAGAGCTTACGGATGAAATTATTGACTTCTGGGTCGAATCTGAGAGAAATTCCGACATGGGAAAGGAGGGTCTAGAGACGATAACTTTGAGCGCACTCAGATTAATTAGTTAGTATGAATTCGTGGGAAGTTGATCCTATTTATTGTTGAATACCATATTTTTCCGGGATCGTCGCGAAGGATCCATACGCGCCTCGATTAAAGAGTTGTCCCAATCGGCCAGGGTTGAATTTTTGAATGGCGTGATAATGCCAGTTGCTTTTCCCTTTGTTTTCCAGAGAGCTCAGCCGACGTGGAAGGTCGTCTTCGTCGGATGGCATCGTACAAGTGATGCCCGACATCCCCGAGCGTAAACGTGTATTCAGTTATGACGGTTCGCATGAGCAGAAGGAGTTCTACGAGGAGTGGCATACTCAGTATTAGTAGTATTATCAATTGATGTAACATGGATTTCATATACCGATTTCATCGATTATCTTCCCGGATTTTCTCCTCGAAAAAGAACCATCTTGCGCGATCATCGGACAGCCAACTTTTGATTATCTGGACTCTTTTCGAGACTCAATTTCACATCGTTTTCACACATGTCGATGAGCTAACTTGTGTTTATGGATGAGCCGGAATCAGTCGGGAGTACTGATTACTATCGGGATGCGGTTGCTGCTTCTCGTAGTGTTGTAGAGTGTCCACATCGGAGGAGTCCGGCTCAGTGCCCTGATGCAAACGGATACTCGGATGAGTATATGAGTGCCACCTATGGACATCAGTACTCTACTAGTAAATAGCATTAGCAGTATCAGTACTAGTACTATACTGAGTAAACCCCAGTATGGGCGAGGGATGCTAGAGCCCGACATGGGAGTTATCGATGTTCGTCTGTAGATGCTGCCGGGATCGGTTTGTCGGTATGGCACGATAGCTGGTACGAAACCGGGTAGCGGTATTATACCCGGTACGCCGAAAAGCGAGTACTAGGGAAACAAGACGAGGTTCTGTGAGAATTACACAATCTCGGGGTTGGGTTGATCACGCTACTCTCATATTTGAGCCCAGTATTGTTCTGTCGGCCCTTGGGAACGAATCCATTCAGGAATGAACACTCCGTTGCAGTGAGTTGCCGGTCTGGTAGTTGTGTTAGTCGGGACGGACAGAGTTGAGGTGTTGCCTCTAACTTGGGGACAGAGTTTTTCAATCAGTCGAATTCTTCATCGTGTAGAACACTGCTGGTGTGCGGTGGTTGGTCATCATCGTCGATGGTGACGTCTCACTGTTGAGCATGGGAGCATACAAGTTGTTTGATACAACTAACAGCGTGATGAAGGTTTCTCATGGTGCAAACTGGTGATAGGCAGGGTTAGAGTGCTAATAAGGTAGATACGGGTTAGAGGCATCAACTTCGATAAGTGGGGTTCGTACATGGGTACTGTGAGGATGATGGTGTATGTGGGGAGTTCCAGATTGGTTGGAGGGGTGCTTTGGAAGAGAGGCCGAGGAGGCTAATACGTAAAATAGATGGGAGAAAAGTAGTCACTACCCGGATTTGAACCGGGGTTGTCACGGCCACAACGTGACGTCCTAACCACTAGACGATAGCGACTTACTGTGAAGTTTCTGCTGACATGTTCGTGCGTGCAGAGAGCACAGCTAATGTCTAACTCGAGTGCTCCACGTTTACATATATATCCGTTCGACGCCCGTCTGTGAACCGTTAGAGTGAAACTTCTGATGTTGTCGAGGATGGGGGGCATAGATTCAGTCGGCTGGGCTGAGCAGGTGGGCCTGAGTGGGTTCGATAACTAACAATAAACTACTTCAATTGTACCTCCTGGTGGCTTCGTACTACCATGTTATTAGGAAATTGACCCCAGCCTGTATCCAGAGGAGATCAGTGACTTTCAATGACGTCTGAAATGGGAGGAGGACCCCTGAATTTGTTTGAGGCTCGACCTAATGCACGCCTTCCCACTTGTTAAGCAGATCTGAACGGAAGGGCTTAGCTGCTCGCCAATAAGGAGAGCTTCTTGCCATTGTGGGGATGTTGGAATAATGATGAACCGTGCACAATTTTCAGCTGTACTCTAAGCTTCACTAAAATTTTCATACATTCCTCAGATACGCCGTAGCGGCCATGGCAGGGCCAGTTGTCAAGCATTCGTCCTTTGCAAGTCGGCATCGTCATTATCTCTTGGGCACGGCTTTGGTAGAGCACGCTTCGCCCCAACCGAGAATAGTTACCCCACATAAGAAGCTTTGGGTGAGGACTTCGGCCGCATTGAGGTAGGCGGGGGAATTCTGGTGCTAGCGTATCACGTTATTGGATCCTTATCAAGCAAGTTTGGATGTGCCCATAAACCAGCAGATAGCAATCCGGTGTATGAAGTAGGGGACGTCTCAGCTCATAGCCGTCGAGTATACTGCCGACCCTACCCGTATTAGGCCGCGGAGCATATCGGCGCGACCCTTGCGAATTGTACGCGTGTTAGTATTGAGCGTCGTGAAGGTTTATAGAGAAATTATCGTACTTGTATAGCCTTGCCATCCGCTTCTATTGGTGTCTCCTCACTCCACGCTCACTAGACTCGGAAAAATCTCATGTCTTTTGTAGTGTGTCACCACCAGAGTTGGAATTCTCAAGCGCTCACAGCACGTTGCTGTTCGGCTGGTGTCCCACTCAACCTTCATTCAGCTGAGGTTACCCATCAATCATGTTCCCATCGGTGTCACCATCAGTGTTGGAATATATCTTCGCTTTTCTCACCTGACCTCGCTAGTTGTATAAATTTACATACAAATTTGGGTAGAAGTGTACAGAAACCAATGAGAATTTCCCCAAAAAATTCTCCCAGAGTTTCCATATTATCACCAATACATGTAGTTGACCATGTACATATTTTTCTACACTGATCACTATACTCATGGATTCAGATGATGCCTTCCATGCCCTCATATAAGGAGTGTATTTTTTTCTTAGGGAAAATTCAAAAAATCTGTGTTTCTCGTAAACTAATGAGAGTTTTGAGCTGAAACTTCAACAGAGCATAGATATAGTGATTAACTATTATAGCTAGTCTTGTGTTCCTGAGTGATCGGTCTAGTGCTGGGGTTAATACAATTCACGATGAACATAGACCCAGTGCAGTTATTTTTATCATCGTATGCTGGGTAGCGTGCGAGCAGCACTCCTCATAATAGGGGTTGCGGCTACTCTGGAGGAGGAGGGTGTGATCGATGACCTTGGCCGAGACCCATGGGTTGTGACGCCTATGCTATCGGGTGGTCAGTATAGACTCCCGGATGGTGCTGTCGTGGATGGCGCGGAAATGCCACCAGGAGACTTGGAATTGGTAACAGTGTTCGCTCGGAGATGCCAATTCCGTTTGGATAGAATCTCTATCACAATCCATTGCTCATCACCTCTCACCACATGATGAGGAACTTCATATTAATAGTATCGTAACGGCCATAGATTGGATATTAACCCCGAGTTCTATCGATGTGGTGCTCTCGATCAGACTCTTCGGGAGCTGGAGAATCAAGTGGATCCTACTGTGCTGAGAGTAGATGTAGTAGTCTCTAGATCTAGTGTGAACCTCGAAAGGCGTTGGGGTCTCAATCGGCATCATATTCGTTTGAACGTGTGATGTTCTCCTTAGGCCACCTTGAGTCGTCATGAGCATGCGGATCTCTGTGGTAGAGCATTCGGGCATCTTTTTAGAGAGAACCCTGGATGGGAGACAACTCGAGAAAGGGTTGGCAGTGTTATCAATGAAATTATGTCTGCTATAGGGAAGGGAGGAAGTAGTAGTAGTAGTAGTAGTAGTAGTAGTAGTAGTAGTAGTAGTAGTAGTAGTAGTAGTAGTAGTAGTAGTAGTAGTAGTAGTAGTAGTAGTGGTAGTAGTAGTGGTAGTAGTAGTAGTAGTAGTAGTAGTAGTAGTGGTAGTAGTAGTGGTAGTAGTAGTAGTACT